TTTCCACTTTTCTTTGACCAACCTGCTAAAGTCATCATGGAGAACCCAAGGAGCGTTAAATCGAAAAGGGCGGTGGGCAAGTTTTCTAGAGGACATACCTGGTCGTAGTTGGAGGAGAAGTGGTCTGTGATCAGATTTAAACCAAGGAAGATTTTTCACAATAGCATCACTATAGAGACTCCTTGCCTTGGTATTAGATAGAACTCTATCAATTCTGCTTTCGCACCCATCTCTCTTCCAAGTAAAGAAGGGTCCCGAGCAGCCCAAATCAGCTAGCTCCATATTCTCCACCCAATTACTGAAGTCCCTATCGACAGGTGTGGTCTTGTACACTGTAGACTGACGCTCATTGGAGAACAAAGTTGCATTGAAATCTCCTCCTATAAACCAAGGCCAATCATTGCCCGGGTTTAGTGGTTGCAGGCTACTCCAAAGCGAGCATCTGACCGTGCTATTTGGACAGGCATAAATAGAAGTGATAAAGACCTTTCCTACATTGCTTTCAATCATCACATGAATATATTGCATATTTGCCTCAAGGACGGTGAGAGAGAAATTTTCCGTAGACCAAGAAATCCATGTGCCTCCACGGAGTCCTGTAGCGTCAACGATTTCACAGTGTTGAAATCCCAATTTTTTGCTAATTTGTTTTGCTTTTTCACCACTAGATTTTGTCTCAAAAAGGGCGCAGAAGTCAGCTTTGTATCTTTTTCTTATTTCTCTGATGAGTCCCGGAAACACCTTGGACCCCGTACCCCTGCAATTCCAGAAGATGTAATTCATGGGTCACTTGAGGATTAGGGATTCGAGCTTATAGACCCTAAATTGTTTCGGTTATCTCCCATTCTGATATTGTTAATTAAAGAGTTGGTCTTCTGAGCACACTCATTCTGCACTGTTGTCATAACTGTGTCGGACATATCAGTATTATCTATCTCCGATGTAGAAGCCATAGTCTGCGTTCTCAGAGGGACACCCTTAGGCTGCAAAGAAACAAGAGCCTTACTAGTACTGGTTATATTGTTGGGCCCATTCTCGTCAAGGTGTGTTAGAGTCTCAAATGGGTTTCTTGCTTGCCAGAAGTCGGCCTTGGCTGGGGTATTTTCATGTGAGGTGGGCTTAGATCTGTGCAACGTGGCTAGCATTTTGTCTTTTTTGAAATTTTTGTTTTTGGAGCTTTTTTTCTGGACCACCGGGACCCACCTCATATTGTGCTGAGATTTCTTCCCACTAATACTGGGGTTGCCTTTTATATTTTGCCAATGATCTGCATTATTCATGCTGTTCGATATTTCCTGTTGACTTTCCTCGTGAGGATCACGTTTCAATACTGATTTGGTATTCTTTTGTGTCAATCTCTCCTGGTCATTTAAACCCCGTCCTAAATTATCGTGGTTTCCAAATCTTCTCCCCCTTGGCCGTTGGACAATGTTCCACACACCGAGGCCTACCGCCGTCGGCGTTTGGTGGCTGCCAGCCTGCCTGCCAGTTGTTTGTTCCTCCATTGGCCGTTTAGAGATCCCACTTTCAGAGATGTTGTGTGTGTCTACCGGAGGGGCGGTGTTCGTTTCCTTTGGTTCCTTGTTTAGGTCCACGTTAAGCTTGTCGGCGTTCCTATTTCCAGAGTCATTTACGGTCCCTGTGTGAGCAACACTAGTTTGAGGGGTGACACACTTTTCCTGGCACGCTTCCTTATGATGTCCATACTTCCACAATTGAAGCATATAAGATGGAGGCCTTCGTACCCTACTACTCGGCGTTTTCCAAAGACGTTAATTGCTGACTTGAGTTTTTTCTTAAGGTCTATCTCAGTGCAGATACGTGCAAAACGTCCCCTTTCACTTGTATACGTAATCGCGTCAACCTTCAGGGTTCTTCCCACTAGTTTTCCAATCTTGCACAGGCTCTCCATATTGAAAAACTCCAAAGGGAGGAGGGGTATTCGGACCCACACGGCAACCTTCTTCTGCACTTCAGCTTCCCAGGGGTCGAAATTTGGTCTCCACCTTTGCACTAGGAGATAGTGGTCGGCAATCATCCAGGGTCCCTCTTGGTAGATATTATTCATATCGTTTTCATCTTCAAAAGAGACAACAAAGTAACCGTTGTCTAGGTCTCTTGTCGTATATGGTTGCTCTGTCTTCCACCTGCGAGTAAGGTTTTCTTTCATCAGCCATAAAGGTAAGGTCTTGCCCAGCAGCTTGATGATGAGAGACTTTCTCCATGGTGCACACCATCTTTCGTATTCCTCTCGGGTGATCCTCAGCGTTGGGCAGTCTTCGTCTTCGTCCTCTACTTGGTCCTGGGTTTGTTCAGTTTCGGTATTAATGAAAAAACTCTTGATGCTCTCGAGATACTCATTCCAGGCATCCTTGACAATTCTGCATCCCTTCCCATCACTTGAGACCGTGTTATTTTCTGTTCCCATCAGCTTGTCCTTGAAAGTTTCTGTTTTGTCGTGACTCCTCTCGTCTTCAACTCCCTCTCTCCTCTCATTTGCTGTATTCCTAAACTTTTTCCGGTGTCGTTTGGCTGGGTCACCTTTCTCCGGCATCTCTTCGCCACCGCCACTTGATGAGAGATTTCCCGTCTCCATATATGTGTGTATCGCTAGTCTTTTATGGATTCCTACTGCTGATCGGTCGCTAGCCTTGTTCATTAAACACAAATTGAGTATCCTATGATTTTAAGTATACTTTAATGTATAAAAGTCCGTTAGACATAGTGTTATTTTCTATTAAAACTTGTGTCTAAGATTGATGAGAGCATTAAATAAAGCTTTCCATCAAAACTGAAATCTGATGTAATTGGCTCAATTTAATGTTGTCTGATAATACACTTTTCTTCCTAATCTTTCCATTGGATCTTTGCCATCTTGTAGAGATCGTGTTATACAATATATTTTAAAAAGATTTTTGGTAAGGCACTCTTCTTAAAATATTTTTAAGGATATCTTCAAATCCGATAAAATACCTTTCTTAATATAAAACTTGAATAGAAAGAAAGTCAAAAACGACTTAGAATATATCTTCATTATATTAACCAATAAATTAACCAATAAATATATAACATGTAAAGTTTAGTTCGACTTGAACAGGATTGGAATCACTTTTGACTTGATCTTTATAATAAATATTCGAGTCGAATACCCAAACATATAACAAAGATTTTTGAAACGAACTTGAATAGACTCAATTAAGAACAACTTTCAGTAGATTTTCAAAATATTTGAGTTGACTTAGGTCACTTTCTAAATTCATGTGAGTTGAATACGCAATAGTAGAGACAATGTTTAAGACTTATGAACCAATTAAATGGTTTTTTGAAGCACATTTAAAGATAATAAGTTTTATGAAAGCTTTTCATTAATTAATTAATTAATTAAGTTTCCTGCAAAATAAATTCTTCACTCAATACATCTCATGTAACCTTTTTATAAATGAGAGTTTAATTTAGAATATATATATCTTACATATTTATTCTTTTTATAGAAATTTAATTAACATTTTGAACCATGCAATTTGAGCAGTTATTTCTTATTAAAAAAGAACAGATAGAGTAATTCATATTCAGTTTCTCCTTATAGCCTCTTCTTGCATTTACATATGTCCATGATGTGGTTTATCATCCATGGCCACCACCTTGAGGTTACTGGTATAACTCATAAGACCCTTTCTTTCTTTCTTTTCAGGTCCAAAGTTTCTTCCCCTAAATAATAATTTGGCCTACCCTACCGCATTGGAAACGTTATTTTAGGTTTACAAGTCAAGCCTCTCTAGTGAGTCTTCTCCAGCTTTAGTACATGTCATTTAAGTCCGCATTGATGAAACGTGATTTTAGGTTTACAAGTCAAGCCTCTCCACTGAGTCTTCTCCAGCTTTAGTACAGGTCATTTAAGTTTCCCATGTGCATGCCGGGCCCTTAGCTTGCAGTGATATGAAAATGCCAAAATGGGATTCTTTTTCAATACAATGCTTTCAAAGCATTTTTTTTTTTCATTTTTGGAAAAAAATGAATATATTGTATGCATCCCATTTCAATCTATTCAAATTTAAATAATGTTTAAACACTATTTCTCTTGTTAAAACAAATATAGTTTTTTATTGAAGGTGATCATATTTGAAGCACTATCAATACTAAATAATGTATTTTTCTGATGAAAATCCTCAAACTATATATTACTCACATCTCTCTCACACTCGTCCTCTTTCACAATCACTCCTCCCCAAATCAAGCTAAAGACGAAGTCATCCAAAACTGACATGTTATCAAACAAATAATAAGGCAATATTGGAATAGCATTTGGAGTCCCGCATGAAGCTATTTCCAGCCATTGTTGATATTTGATCACCGAAATTGGCTGATGTGATCCAATAATTATTAGAAGAACGACATTTAGTTCCTAAAAATTTATTTATAGATAAATTTCAAATATCAATTCAGATAATTGTAAATATATACTCTCAGTTGCAATTCACTAAAATAACCTCTAAAACTTGAATGTTTAATTTGCAACGGAAATTATGTACAATTGTCTAAACTGACAACTAATTTTTAGTAAAAATTGAATTTGCAGGATAGTACGATGCCAATATATCTTACTCTTCATCTTCATCATCCTCATCTACACACACACACACACAAAACAAACTCTTAAAAGTAAATAATTAAGGATATTTTTGTTAAGATGCACATAATTATGCTTATTATTGTTCATTGTGAAATCCTGGCTTGTTAATTAAACTCTTAAAAATAAGTCTTCTAGCAGTTAACTAGACCCATTCCAATTGCCTGCCTATATTAACTGAGCAACTATCCAATGCGTTGATAGAAAATTTGAAATTGACTCGGTCGGTCTACTGAATAGACATCATTATAAGTCTCTCTCTCTCTCTCTGTCTCTCTCTAGACTCTGTGTGTGACTGTAGAAGCTTGAATTCCCTATAAATTAGAAGAGATTTCATAGTTCCTAATTCATATTCAATTCCTCATTATAAACCTCTTCTTGCATATACATATATAAGTATGACGTCGTCCATCATCCATGTCCGCCACCTTGAGGTTACTGGTAGAGCTTATAAAACCCTATCTTTCTTTCTTTCCTTTTCTTTTGATAACTGGACCAAAAAAAAAAAAGCCATATCTTTCTGCATACTTATTGTTTCTTAGCTTGATACTTTTATTTCCTTAAGGATGAAAATACATTCAACACGCTGTAAGTTTTTTCCAGAGCCATCCAGTATTATAAAGTATTTTGTAGTACATCTATAAGATGAAGTATTTTTTTTTTTATCCTAAAATATTTTTTTGTGCAAGTTTACATTTAGCAATTTAAGATGCTAAATGCATCAAAAAATGATTTAGGATGCTAGACACACATGAAAAAAATACTTTTAATTGTGTCAAAATATAATTTAGGATGTATGACGTACTTGAAAAAAAATATACTTAAAGGTGTTAAATATGCCATAAAATACTTTAGAATGCTGGATATACGTAGACAAATATTTTAGCATATTAGATGAACTTTAACCCTTTCGATAACTACGTTCCTAAAACCAAACTCATCTTTTGTTTCTGAATCTTGCCTCTCTCAAGTCCGAGGATGCAACTTATTTCAAGAATTGTATCCCAGGAGCCAACCATTGTACGTTTGTTTTCAATATGGTGACCTTACCTGTATTACAGTGCCAAGTCAAGGTGAATTCTTAGCTATAATTCCTCTGATCTTTATTAGAGGGACCTCCAACACATTTCACATTATTATATGTTTTGTTTAAAGTATTAATTTTTTCCAACTTATATTCTTAACTAATTATATAAAATTTCCCAACTAATAAAAAAAAAAGTCATAACCAATGAATTTTAGTGAAAGTAATTTTTAAATTTGATGAGAAATAATTAATTTTAACTAATTTCTTTAATTTACCTAAATTTATTAATATGTGCATATAAAAATGACGGGAGGAAATATTTAAATTTGCAGCATGTCATATGCATTACAACAATGTAAAAAAAAATTATTTTTTATTTCTAAAATGACATGGGTGTTATGAAACTAAAGAAAAAATAGAGAATAAAAGAGAACAGAAGACATGAGTATTTCTTATTCCATTCAAAGTACTGAATACATGATACATAACCTCTATATATAGACACAGCTTTACATCTTTGACAAAATCTGCAGATTACATAATAATAGAAAATAATTGCAGGATATAGAGATAATAGGAAAAATAGGAGATATAAGGACATTCACAGAGATATTATTTCTATGTTAGTGTTCCATTGACTTGTGTTAATTTTCTACTTTTGATTGCCACAGATGGTGGAATGAACACCAGTTATCCAAATAGGGCCGGCTTCCCACTAATTGAAGGCCTAAACGAGCTTAAATTCGTGGTTTGGAAGACTATCCAGACTAATTTCGATTATAATGATTTTATGGGCAGTGGCAGGTAATTCTGTTTTTTTAATTAAAAAATGATAATTTATAGCTTGCCATATTCTTCTTTTTATTTTATCAAGAAGTTAAAATTGGAAATCACCTAATGTGGGCGTTCACCAAATAATTTGGTTTTCTCTACACATTCATATCGCTACTCAGCTTAAGGCTCACCTAATATTCTTTTTTTTTTTTAACCAGAAACTAATATTTTAAGAACAAAGATAAATTCAAGTGCCTAAAAAAAAAAACCAAACCTGAACTAAATTGCCCTTTTTGTTCAATTTTCAATCTTATTATATGTTGTATATTTTGAAACTTCCAGGATTTGTTTGCATAGTGTCGTTTCAGAAGGATCTAAAGAATCCTCTTATGACTTTCAAAAAGAAAATAATAGGTAATTAAGCACATCTTATGTTTGATTTAGATTGTTTTCCCCCCGGGGAAATTTACATGATACCAATTTTCCTTTCGCAGATATGGTGAATTAGAACTTGCATTGCAGTGTAGACCTTCCGAGGTTAGTTATTATAGAAGCAACCTTGTCATAATAATTAGAGAAAATTACAACCGTAACTTGAAACTTCCGCAATGTTTGTCTCTTATTATCTTTTAATCGTATTGCGAAAATCAGATCTTAAATATTATTGAGTCGAATTCAATTATTATTGATCTGACTTGATTATATTATCCTTTTCTCAAAACATAGATAAAAGCATAATCCTCAATTATTCCTCACGTGATAAGGTGATTCGTGAAGTTGACTAGTTGGTTTGAAACAAGATGGTGAATTTAAAACAAATGAGTTAACTTCAACTAGTATAAAAATAATATATTTTTATTTTTCTATCGCAGCTAATATTTGCGAAAAGGCTATGGTTACTTAGAAATTTTTTTGCTTGATATTAAGTATTGAAACAAAAAAGTAATGTCACTCTTTACATTAAAAAAAAAACTAATGTTAACCTTAAACATTTTTAATGAAAAGAATGACATTACTCTTTTTTTTAATAATTTTGGAGCAACACAAAGCAGAAAAAAATTTAGATGCTCATAACTTCTACGTGTATACTTTTAGGATAAAAATAATTCCTTTTTTTGACCAGGAGGATAAAAATAACTCCTTAACCCTTTGATATTTGTTTTGAATTATACAAGTTATTGCAATGGTATTTGTCACTAATCTAAGTAAAACGACGTAAAAAGGTAGGACGGAAACATAAATGTAATTTTGCATATGAAAAATGCCCTCCAAAATGCTAAATAAAAAAGGTATTGTTAAGAATTGACAAAATAAATATAATAACTATTATGAGAATGGATTATCTCCTCTACCATTCTTCTCCATACCCTTCTTTTCCTTTTACTACCATTGGATTAAAATTTTAGTCGTCTAGGCTTAACGTTTTATATAATTTTACTTACAAATTAAAATACATAAATAAATGGGTAAAGTAGCATCAGCACCACGATGTTACTTTTCTATTGTATCCAGCACTCCCTAAATTTTTCAATTACATACAATTCTCTAATATTATTTATGGTATAGGGTGCTGAATGCAATATAAATAAGATTAGTGTACTGAAAACATTAGAAAAATAACATCATGGTGTTAGATGCATAATAAGATTAGGTTGTTGGATACAATTGACAAATAATATTAAGATGTTTGATACTATTTTACCTTCAATAAATTTGAACTGCTAAAATTTGATATGAAGAGTTTATAATAATAGTTTTTTTAAAAAAAAAAAAGTGGAGACAATCTACTTTCTAATAGTTGCTTATAGTTATGAATTGTTTAGATCATATTTCAACACTTCAAAGTTATTTATATATTATTATGTAAAGTTATAATAATATTTTGCATAAATATATATTTAGTCTTTTAATTTTGTACAAAATTTCAATTTAGTCCCTTAATTTAAAAAAAAATATTTTTAGTTTTTTAACTTTTAAAACGTTAACAAAATATGATGACATTGAGGACTTGGATGTTAATAAAATATTCTCAAATGCTAACATATTAAGTTTAATTTTCAAAATAATCATGACTGTTTCAAATAAATTATCATTTAAGACCAATAATTTTAGCGTTAAAGGACTAAAAATATAATTTTTGAAGTTAAGCAACTAAATTGAAACCTCATACAAAATTAAATGATTAAATGTATACTTTAGCCTAATATTTTTATAAAATGTTAAATTTAGACTATTAAAATTAAGGGAGAGTTACAATGAGTTTCCAAGAAAAGAAAATAATTATCTGTAAGTATTAATGACAATTAAGCAGCTGTTATTTGCTGCTTTGAAACTTGTTATTGTAACATGCTCTATTGTCACTAGGACACTTTAGTAATTTTGTTTTCTTACTTGAGACTTCATAACAATTTCGCTAAATTTTAATCCAATAATTATGAAGGGAGAAGGAGCGTTAAAGGAGGGGTCGGGTTGAGGAAATGATCAATTTCCAAACATTACACATCTCATTTTTTTAGTGCAATAGCAATTCATAAATATTTGGGTAGAATCATTATCGGGTCCTCATCTTTTTTAAATGAGCATGGAGTGTACTCCCATTGTTATCAAATAACTTGTAAGTGTTGAACATTTGAAGTAATCTTGTATGCAGGGGTCCGATCCATCATCTTCTTTGGCAAACTCGACCCCACTAAGCCACCCGCGACATCCTTATCATTCTTCACATAATTTCTCTACAGATCGGACATTGTCATACTGGCCTCCACCAGTTTTCCATCATTCTCTTTCATATCCTCCGCCGCCGCCGCCGCCTCGTTATCCGCCTACATATCCATCACTGCCGCAACCCTATCAATATTCGCTTCCATATCCGCCGCCACCATCCCATTATCTGCCTCAATATTTGTTTCCGCCATCCCATCATCTGCCTCTATATCCGGTTCAACCACCGCCGCTCCGACCGCCAATCCATCCTGTAACATTTGTTGCTTCCTTTCTTTCAATTGGAGAAAACCTGTTTCAATTCTTCTGTGGAAATTGAATATGTCACTTCATCCACCATTATAAGATGCAAGAGCGGGGATAAGAAAGCCAGCAATAGGTCGCTTTTTAATTTTTTTGAATATGAATAATCTTGATATTTGATCGTACGTAACTTGTTTCACGTGTGTGTAAGCCAGAAATCACTATTTGAATTCATGCATGTGTAATGGATATTTCATTGCCCTTAATTTCACGTGTATTTTTTTTTTTTTCTAAGTCAGCAATGTATTGAATTTCAGCATATGTAATGTACGTGGAGAAAACTAATATGTTAGGGACTATAATTGTACCGTATTTTTAATTAGTTTCTTGCAGTATTTTTTCCTTTTTATTCATTAGTTTCTTATAGTTTCCTTAATTATCGGTATTTTTATCTCTATATTCATAATTTATATGAGAAATGACATTAGTAACTTAAAACGTGGGTGGTTCTTACTCAATCTATAGTTGGATTAAATTTGCTAAAATGATGTAAATAAAATCAAAACCAACCAACAAGTTGTTGGTTATGATAATGAGCAGTCTCACCCCATAAAAAAAAAAAAAGAATACAAATTTGAATTTTGAAAAACACATTTTATCATCTATGATCGTTTTAAAAATAAGGAAAGATAATCAATTGATCCTTATAGTTTTAATGAGCATTCAACTCAGTCCCTCCATCTACTTTAAAAACTTATAACTCAGTCCTCGTAGTTAAACATAAGCAACTCAGTCCTTGACTCGTCCACTGTGTCACTAATGGTTAAAAGAGTGCTGACATGGAACCACATCATTGCCAAGTAGGATTAAAAAGCCACATCACCATGCTTCCATCTCTTCTACTTTGCTCTATGTCCCATCGACGTTTATAATTTCATCACAGAACCCAAAATGTTGGTCGGACGATGGGCAAGTTGTCGAACGTTGACCATACGGCGGCGGTTCCATTAGAGAGCAGGAGGTTGCCGTCGTCTTATAGGATGGCGGAGGAGACATCCACATTTGAAATTCTGGAGTCCCAACTAGCTGACTCAGACCCGTTTACGAGGCAGAGGGCTCCGCTGGAAAGGAACCGCATGGAGCCACCGAAGTCCCTGGCCAAACCTTACCGGCGGACCAGATGATGAGGGTGCCGCCGGAGTACAATATGGCAGCAATATAATGAAGGTAGGAGGAGAAGTTTGGGGCTCGAAAGCAATGAAATGGTGGGAGAATGTGTTGTTCGGAGAAGACCATCTTTCATTTGTGTTGGAAGCTAAGAGATTAGAGCCAGTCGAGATAACGCCGGCGGTCGCCGCGATGATGGCAAGGAAGACGACAAAGAGTGTTAAAACTCGAATTCTTTCTAGCCATGAGATGAACGAGACATCAGGTGCTTTTAATTGTCATCTTGTCCAAACTCTCAAACAGAGATTGGCTTATTTTCTCGCTCGTCTTCTTTGATTTTCCTCGACCATCTGACTGATACAATTGTCCCCTCTCAAAACTTCACCATCCGATTGGACGCAGAGCAAAGTGGAAGAGATGGAAGCTGGTGATGTGGCTTTTTAATCCTATCTGGCAATGATGTGGCTCCATGTCAGCACTCTTTTAACCCCTTAGTGACACAGTCAAGGACTGAGTTGCTTATATTTGGAACTACAACGACAGAGTTACGAGTTTTTCGTTAACACTATAAGGATTAGTTAATTAATTTTTTCTTAGAAATAAATAAAACTTTAAATTTTTACATGAGTGAATAATGTTTTTGTATTTTTTTTCAATTGATTTTTACGTAAGTTGTAAACCTTGAAAGAAATTAAATATAATTAAGTGAAATGTATTAATTCGTAGTGGTAGTTTTAGAAATAAAATGTAGAAAAAAAAATAGAAGAAAATGTAAGAGATTTCAATGGGAATAATATCATATTTTTAAATTTATATTTAAATATGTTGTTCATAATTTCATTTTTAAGAAAAAAATTCTTTTTCATTTGTTTTTTGGGGCAACTTACATGTTATTTAACATTCACATCAATCCTCAAAAAATAGATTATAAAAACTAGTGTTTGTTTTCTTTTGCTATTACGTAAACTTTATTGTTGTCTGCAATATCATTTTCCTAAATTTATACAAAATTTCAATTTAGTCTTTTAAATTTTAAAAAATATATTTTTAGTCATCTAGTATTAACACAATTAGCCTCATGTAAAAAAAAAATATGACTGAATATATTTAAATGATGATTTTGTAATTAAATGATGACAAAATATACTCTAAATTAATCTACATAACTTAAACATCTCTGCTATAAAAGGAGCCAAGCTGATATTGCTTGCTTATCAGCTCCCCTCGTGAGCTACTGTTCATATGAACGGTAGTGCCTTCCACAACAAAATGGCCACCACATTTTGGGCTCCGTGCTAGCGCATTATATAATCAACTCATTTGTTTCCTCATTCCAATGCATCTGAAATCTAAGATCCCGCAGGTAGAATTGAAAAGTAAGGATAGAGATTAGGATTAAGATTGAGAAAATCTATTAAAAAAATATTTAACATAAAAAATTATTTGTTATATGGGATTAGCTAATTCTATGTATTGGTATAGGTGAAAACCATAAGAGGAAGTAGTATTTCCCGATTCTACCTCTATAAGTTTGTCTAATTTCATATAACAAGTAATTATTCATACTAAATATTATTTTAATGATTTTTTAATTACAATTATAATCGCTATCTTTTATTTTTAATATTTCGTACCAAACGGGACTTAAGTTCTTAGACGATGGACTAGCATCAACTGTTACGGTAAGCTTTTCAACTACTTTATCAAAAGCACAAAGGCGTAAAGGTTACGCATAGTATGCATTTTCTTTTTATTTTCCATCATTTTGTTCCTTCTGCCTATTATATAACGGATTTACATTGGGCGCTCATCAGTTTTGATGAGCACCCAATACTTATCCGATTTGGACGGTCCATATTTATTTTTATTTTTATTTTTTAAAAAATTATTTTAATAGATATAAGATAAAAAAATAAAAATAATCTCTTAACTATCATTCTTTAAAAATATAATTTTTTCTATTTTAAAATAATTATTTAATAATATTAAATCTAGACCATTCAGATCTAATAGGGACAGTCCAGATTGCTCATCAGGTGATGAGCATTGGGTGCTCATCACTTGATGAGCACCGAATGGGGACCCCTCTGCTCTCTGACTTGACATGCCTTGTGTTATGATAGGTTTGATGAGTTTGTCCCTTCTACGGAGACTTGGAAGGTTATTGTGAAGGTTTGCAGGTCCCGTTTTGTATGAAATATTAAAAATGAGGGTAAATATTAGGATTACGATTTGAAAAAATATATTAAAAAAGTGCTTAATATAAGTGACTGCTTGCTACTTGGAATTACACAAATCCATATAAATGAGATTAGGGAATACCATAGGGAGATGTGGTATTCCCCACTCCCATTTACATGGGATTGTCTAATCTTATATAACAAGAAATTACTCATACTAAATATTTTTTAATGGTTTTTTTCAATCCCAATACCAATCTTTACCATTTATTTTTAATATTTCGTACCACACATAACCACAGTGTCTTCATGAAGACTGGGTTCGATATATTAGAGAGGGACTACGGTTACCCCTAGAGTTTGGTCTACGTTGACATAACTGTCTTTGACAAGCAGATTAGCTAATTGTACTCATCATCTATGTGTCACTATATTGTACCACCTCTGATCTTTAATACAAGAATTTGTTTGATTTTTATTTTGGTCCTAAATATAAGACCCTAATTCACTTTTTCTCTCATAGTTTTTTTTTTTAAGGTAGTCCTTGTAATAATGGTAGTTCTAACCAATATTTTAAGAAAGAGAACATCTACTTATTACAAATAACTAACTTAACTAGTTTTTCTAATTTATTCAAATTAGTTAACTAGCTCTTATATTCAAAACCAGAGGCAGTATATCATTTTTTGACTTTATTTCTTCGATTTCGATTTGTCATATGTGCAAAGAACATTCAGATGCTGGTGATGATCGTTGGAGATGAATTGATAGACTGGTTCTACAATGTCTTCTTCGAAGGGAAGATATACTTGATTCGGTACTTCAGCGTTGATGCAGAAGGTGAGGGGATCCACTCAAAGCACCACATTATCCTTCTGCATAGCACATTGGTTCAGAAACATGACTTTATGTTCCCTCCCCACTGTTTCAAACGTGGAAGAACTACATCCCTTTGAAAAGGATGCACAAGCTTGTGACTTTAGTGAATTATGCAGCTGTCAAGAAGCAGTGGGGTACTTCGAAGTTTGTTTTCATTCTTCCTTCACCATTAATATTTTGGTTACTCAGCTGTAGTTTCCTTTGTGTTTTAGACAGTTTCTCTCTTCATAAATATGTTAATGCCATGGAGGGTTATTGGAACCCTGAATTCACTGAGATAATGGCTGTAAGGAGGGCGCTTCTTCTGAATGGGAGTGCTTGATAACTTTCACTGTCACAGTTCTGTCATTTTGTTTGTGTGAACTAGAAATTTGCGTGTTTGTTTTCTTAATAGGCCATATGCTAGGAATGTACTGGACGTTTGGATTATGGCAAGTTACGTAATCCCTTCTACTGTGTATTTCTATGTATTTTGTAGACTAGCCTAATCTCCTTTGTGCCAACATTGCCTTTAAGTGTAATTAGTATCTTATCATCAGTAGTATTATTGTTCTTATGAAATTTGGGTCTGATATTTTCGATTTGAATGGCTCTAATAATGCTACCACCTAAATCAAAATTAACATGAGAAGCAATCTTTTTTAGTGAGCACATCGTGGCAGATAAACTTGAACTTAAGATTATTAATAACGAACTTTAAATGGTACACACAGATTTCCATGGCTTAATAAATTATTTACCCTGGGATGTAAATTAAATTTTTTTGTTAGCTTATTATTCCACTACATTAGGAGTAAGTTCTTGTTTTGGTTTGTGGTGCAGCTTTATGTAACAACTTTAGCATTTTACT